ACTCATGCATTATTTTTTAGTTCTTTTTGTCATGTTTGTTCAATGTCTCAGTAAAAAAAAATGTTCATTAAATTAAAGTTTTTATCACTGACAATAGCTGGTTATGTTTTTTTTCATAAAACATTTCGTCATTACTGAGTAGGTGAATGAAGGCAACAGCATCTTTTTTTCAATAGCTAGTCTAACACTATTTCACAGGGTGCTAATGCATTTATTGCCCTTGAAAATGTCAGAATGCTAAATATTTCATGCGTCTGGCTATATACCTTTTTGCCTCAGTGCCCTGGCCAGTAATTCTTGATTGCCTTGGTGCCCTCTGAACCTACGCGAAAATGCCTTATTTGAGGGGATAAAAGGCAAACATTGCTGTGCCCCCCGAACAAAGTAATTCTACCCCTGGAATCTGGAGAAATCTCTGTGTGTAAGGGACAAGTATTCTGGATGCCCATGGTCTTCGGGCCCTTAGGCAGCACTGCCTCACAAATAGGCATGATTCTGCAATGGAAATCACTAAATGGGAAAATTTCCAGAAAACGTTATCAGTGAACACAATTCGCCGTGTCATCCAAAGATGCCAGTTAAAACTCTATCATTCAAAGAAGAAGCTGTATTTGAACATGATCCAGAAGCGCTGACATCTTCTCTGGGCCAAAGCTCATTTTAAATGGACTGTGGCTAAGTGGAAAAATGTTCTGTGGTCAGATGAATCTAAATTTGAAATTCTTTTTGGAAACCAGGGATGCCGTATCATCCTGACTAAAGAGGAGAAGGACCACCCAGCGTGTTATCAGCGCTCAGTTCAAAAGCCAGCATCTCTGATGTATGGGGGCGCATTAGTGCATATGGCATGGGCAGCTTGCATATCTGGAAATGTACCATCAATGCTGAAAGGTATATCCAGGTTCTAGAGAAACATATGCTGCCATCCAGACGACATCTCTTTCAGGGAAGACCTTCCATTTTCCAACATGACAATGGCAAACCAACACACTGCATCAATTACAACATAATGGATTTGTAGAAGAAGGGTCCAGGTACTGAACAGGCTAGTTCAGTACCTGGACCCTTCTTCTACGAATCCATTAGCCAGTGGTCCAGATCTTTCACTCATTGAGAACATTTGGCGCATCATAAAACGAAAATTACGACACAGAAGACCTAGGACAGTTGAGCAACTAGAATCCTGTATCTGACAAGAATGGAACAACATTCCTCTCCCAAAACTTGAGCAACTGATCTCCTCAGTCCCCAGACGTTTACAGACTGTTGTTAAAAGAAGAGGGGATGCCACCCAGTGGCAAACATGGCCTTGTCCCAACTTTTTTGAGACGTGTTGCTGTCATGACATTCAAAATTACCTTATATTTTCCTTAAAATCATACATTTTCTCAGATTAAACATTTGATGTATTTTCTATGTTTTGTTATGAATAAAATATGGGTTTATGAGATTTCCATATCATTGCATTCTGTTTTTATTTACAATTTGCACAACGTCTCAACTTCCAACTTCATTGGAATTGGGGTTGTAGTAATATTTCAGCCAGAGGCAGAGGAACGGGGGGGGGGGTGGTTGGGTTACAGCATGTCGGTTTGTTCTCTCGTTATAATTATAGTGTTAAGTAATGCACGTGTAACTGTACAGTCATTGGAAGCTCAGCTTTGCCATACTTATGCCTTACAGCACGTATGTTTGTAACGTGCTATTTGCCTCACCTGTACGTTGCTTTGGACAAAACCATCTGCTAAATAAAACTTCATGTAAATGTAGTGCTGTATCACAATTCTCTCAATAACTTTGAAATGCATATTGTGGACACAGTTGCAAGGGGTTAGGATAAAATACTCTCATTTCGTCCACCATAAGTGTGGTATGATATTTGGTATTCAAAAAAGGGGATAAGGAAATCCTTAACAGTACATGCCATATAGCAAATATGACGCCCTGAAAATCTGCTTTGGGAAGATTTCTTTGTGAACTAATATAAAGCAGCAAGAGAGGACATGCACTTAGTGTGAGTGTCAGTGTGAATGTCAGCGAGGAAAGCCTCGGGTTTTGGCCAGCACTGGGAATCAGAACAGGCTCTGCCGTGCGGTGCGACTGTGCTCACCGGCAGATTCCTGCAGGCGGCGCTCCTGAGCCAGGGCCATGTTGAAATGGGCACGGTCGCCGCTCTCACACTGCGCGATGATGCGGCACACACACTTGGTGGCGAAGACGCGTGTGGACCAGCGTGGGTGGCTGAAAGGGCTGCCGGACTCTGCCGTGCAGGTATAGATGGAGTCATCGTCAGCACGGTCCCCTCCCTCCTCTTCCTGGTGTGTCTCCACAGCGGCTACAGTGGCAGTCTCTGCTAAAACAGCAGTGATTCCGCATGTAGAGCTTTTCCCTCAGGCTGTTTGACTGTTTAGTGCATGTCCCATGTATGACAGAGTTGAGATGCCAATACAGATACTTAGACCAGATGCAGGAGCACAGGGAAACCATGGTAGGAAAAGCCTAAGCTCAATATGAGCCTAAGCTCAATTGTTTAACAGTTCAAGTTCAACTTTGAAAACAGACTGTACACTGTGAGCTGCACATTGGATCAGGTGTTGCAGTGCCTCACAGTAAGTAAAGCATCAGACTTATCACTCCTGTACTGTAATTACATTGCACCCACCAGCAGAGGCTGACAAGACATCCTTGCACAGCTTGAGCCAATGGGACAGCTTTGCCACAGCCATGGAACCCAACATGTGATTCAGTGTCTCTCGGAGATCCTGGCACAACTGTGGATCTGACTCCCGGTCCAACAGGCTAAACAGTGCCCCCTCCAGGCCAATCTCCTTTATAGTGATATCTGCAGATTAAAAAGGACCATACAATAAGAAAATTAGAATTTGAGCTACTGCAGTGATTTTTTTTTTGGCCTTAAATATTTCAATTAATACAATGGCTTTAGAGTAAAACCAAAAGCAACCATTATGACTTGTAGTTGTGTTGCTCACCCAGCAAACTGTTATCCCTGCGTGGGAGATCCTTGACCAGGGCCACTGCATGCTCAGACACCTCCACAGCCTCCCGTTGGGCCAGCTGCCTGAGGCAGGCCACCACTGCCCTCCGGAGGGAGAGGTAGGAACTGCAAAGGTTTGCCTGCAGACACAGCAGCACTTCTCTGTTGTACTTCATATAAAATACACCTTAAAAGTAATTCAAAACCCGCCCACACAGAAAATTGCTATTAAGATATTCTCTGAATGCAAATACATGCTTTTTAGAAAATAAAATATTCAACTTGCAGTTATGGAAACTACAGAAAAGGCCTCTACAATGAACAAGTTTTGCCGAAAAAAACAGCCGTGTACAGCTTTCCTTGTTTCAGAGGATTGTTTTAGCCAATTTCAGTGAAAGGCAGAAAGGATGCAAACATATGAGCTAAAATAAGACAAGAAATTTCTTATTCTTGCAGAAAAAATACTTTTTTTAAAATGAGAACGAGCAGATACCGATATTCAGCCTTTAACGCCAACACACCATCATAAGCAAACAATCAGTCCAAGCAGTTTGTACACACAACACAAACAATAAGCAAAACAAATATGTATAAATGCATAATCCACCAGGGGCTAACGATGGTTAATCATGTATGCAGTGCTTGAAGTGGGCCGGAACGCAGTTCCGGAACTTCTGTATTTTCGTCTTTTGGGTTCCGCCACTTTTTTCTGCGTTCCGGTACTTACTGAAACTGATCCGACGCAGCGACAGTGGCCCAAGAATAGACAATATCACAAGACCGATAAAAGACTACATGTTGTTTTAATGGTTTTTCAGTATTCCATTTGTAAATTAGAAAAAAAGTAGCCTATGCCTATAGGTTATTGCTTGGAAGAATGATTAAATTAAAATAGTTTGAACCAACACATCCTAAAGACTTGATTTTTTTTTCACCGCACAAATGTCAAATGTCGGAAAATTAGAGTTCCTGCACTTATTTTTTCCCACTTCAAGCACTGCATGTATGAGAAGCACATTCAGTGTGACAGGAGTGTGCAGACAGGGATACTGTTAAATCTTGGTTAACCAAATGCACCAGCCACACTTCTCAATTTGGGGGCTGTAGTAATGCTCCATCTTCAATATTTACAAAAGAGACCCATAAACAAGTCATAGCAGTAAGCTATAGCAGTAAAAAGCAATTTCTTAACTGACAGTAATACATGATAATTGCATTATGAACTGTTTATTAATATGAAGGGGAAAAATCTAGTATTTATTTGCTTGTTCTCGCAACATATACTGCTTACACATTGCAACAGGTGTGTGAAACCTGTCAAGTAAAGAAGAAAAACTCAAAATTTAATTTAAATAAATGGACCAATGAAGAGCATACTGTACATCAACAAACTTTAACATTGCAACAAACTGCTGTCATGACCAAAGGTGTGAAAAGCTGCAAAACAAATATCCCATGCTGTGTCTGCTTAGGGTTAGTAGATGAAACAAAATTAAAATCAGGATGACTGGGGCGAGGAACATAAGAAGCCGGAATAAATAAATCATGTCAAATTAGAGCTGAGTGCACGACATATGCAAGAGAACAATGTGTACATTGTACATCTGCAAATCTGGGGAAGAACCTACCAACACAGAATAATCCAACAAGATGCCCTGCATGAGAGAGCAGAACACAGGTCCATCACTGAGGGGGAGGGCTTACAACATTAGTACATTTACAGACTACACCCAAGGACAAAGAAAAGGCCCCCAGTCACCTTCATTTGTAGATAACCAGGAATCCACCACTCAGATTTGCAGTCATGTTTATTCCAGTAAAGGCAATTCAAGTAATATTTGTAGCGATATATGGCACTTATCTTAAATAACCTGTTTCTGCTATTTCTTTTTTCATGTCTAAGGGTCTTTTTAAAAAAAAAAAAAAAAATATATATATATATATATATATATATGAATGTATAAACTATAGCTCAAAACTTAATGTATTCTTTTTCTGATGATTAGGTGAAAGTTAAATATATTTTAGTTGAATTATTATCTGAAATTGCCTGTGTTACAAAACACTACTGTGGAAAAATATCAAACACGACATTGAGGAGTAAGTACATTTTTAACTTGTAATATTTTATAGAAATTTTCTTTAATATCTATATGGAATGATTTAAAGCCATGTGAAATGACTGGTGCTGCAACTTCCAAAGCTTTTATCTGGGTTGGGATATGTAATAAAAAAGTCAGTTAATATATATTTTATTTATTAAAGTGCCCCCCCACACATTCAAAGGGCTTAATAGCAAAACATTAACATATTTTAAATATGTTAAAATATTATACATATTAAATATAAAATATTACATAAAAATGTAAAATATTAACTTCAAACATTGTATGTTACGTTGTCTTCAGATTGTTCCATGCCAGCTACTCACCTCCTCAAAACAGCACAAGAAATGGACAAGGTCACAAATGCTTCATCCCAAACAAAAACTGCTGTCATGTGCCTGCGACTGTGTGCCCCATGTGACTAAGTCATCACTGATACAGATGGGATGTGAGTTTGAAACATGTCTACGACCCAAAGCTACTTTAACTTAACAAGGCCTACAAAAAGATTAATTAAAAATGAGGGATTTATTTAATATAAATGTGTTAGAAATTCACACACTGACTGATGGATATTCACACTCACATCCCTTAGGGTTAGGCCTGACAAAGACTCAGTCACCTCTTCCAGCACGTGGAGAAATGATGCTTACTACGCTTCAGCGGCACATCCCTGTAAACCCTGAGGTTTCCAGCACTCCTGCCAGTGCATTTTATTTTTGCTGACTGGACCCTCCTGTCAGATGATTTTATTTTTACTACTTATGCCCTCACTAACACACACATCTCCTGTGTATGTCCCTGGGTGCTGCTATGGGTGGCTGCCCTTTGCGGACAACTTACTCTACAAAAAAAGAACAAAGGTGTAAAGACAATTTCCCCACGGGGATCAATAAAGTTTTGATGATTATTATTATTATTATTATTGTTATTATTATTATAGCAGCAAAGTATAGATTTTCTTGCAGCACTAAACACAATAACATGACTGTTAGTTCCGACAGTAATGACCTTTCAGTTCAGACAAAAAAGAACATGACAATATATAATGCAGAACTAGAGAAAGATACAGATGCTGCCAAATTACTGGTAATAAATACTAAATAATCACCATGAATGAAAATAATGGTTTTCACATGCAAAAAATCCAGTCAACAAATGGTAAATGAATGCATTGTATGTAATGTGTGTATTGCTGGGCTCTCTACTCACAGAAAGGCAGGACTCCAGGTTGGTGAGGTTGACGTGGTAATGTGTGTGATGTGTGTAATGTGTATAATAAAGTCAAACAGGTTTATTGTCATTTGAACCATATACACCACATACACAGTACACGGTGAAATGAAACATTATTCCTCCAGAACCAAGCTGCAACACAAAGAACAAAAACAGAAACAACACAAGACTACACAAGTGCAGGCAGGACAGAACTATACAGAGTGCAGGGAGAGCAAAGAGACAGAGCGCAAAATAAACACAGGATAGTAAGGGCCTTATAATTGATAACGAAATTGATATAGTAAATGAGTTTAATGATTATTTCTAACGGGTGTTCACAGTAGAGAA